AAGTCAAAGATCTACCTGTTTATGAGCGTTCATGTTAGAGTTTGTCTTCCGCTAAGACCTTGACAGATAGTTTGTTACATACTCGAACAGTTCCGAGTCTCGTTGTTTATGTCTTGTGTCGCGCAAGAATCTCACGGTTTATTAGAGTGAACCTCATCTGGGAACCCACAAATCCTTCCCGTATCTTTAATGCAGATGAAACAGGGATGTTATTTTGTCCAAAAACTTGCAAACTTCTGGGACCTAAAGCATATAAGAACTTTTATAACATTGCATCAGGAGAAGAAAAACAGTGTATTACAGTTTTGTGTAATTTTTCTGCAAGTAGCTAGTCAGTGGATTCTATGATAGTGTTCCCATATAAGAGAATTCCAAGGCATATTGCAGATTCAGTTTCAGATGGCTTTGCTGCAGGCAGAAGTAATTCAGGATGGATGATAAGTGCCACATTTTATGAATATGTTACAAATATCTTTTATCCCTGGCTTCTGGATAAGAATATCCAGTTTCCTGTATTATTGCTTCTTGATAGACATAAATCCCATTTAAATGAAAAACTATAATTTTTGTATTGAGAAAAGAATTCTCTTTTTTTCTTTGTCGCCAAATTATATTATCCAGTCTTGTGATGTTGCAATTTTTTGACCAATTAAATGTCAGTGGTGAAATGTTGTAAGAAAATACAAGCAACAATCATCAAAATCAGTTTCTAAAACTAACTTTGCAGCTTTTTTCTTTGAAGCTTACAAGAAAGCTTTGAAATTGGAAAAAATTCACATGTGGTTTGTTTCCTTTTGATCCAAATAGAATGGATTATGCTGTATTTTATCTGATTTATCAATTATTTATGTAGAACTATATAAATGTGCACTGTAAATGATAGAAAATGAGATTCCACTTAATTTGTTATCAGATTTCAAGGAAGCCATTACATCTTATAACAATCAGGTAAATTTAGAAAATTATTATTGCAATATTGCTTATCTATGAAACACATTTTTGTATGGATTATCAAACTGATAATTTCTGTAACTTTGTATATATTTTATTCTAACAATTAATATTTTTATTTCAATTTCTTAATCTGAAATTACATGACTGAATTACATAAAATTGCCAACACATATGGTATACAATGGTATAAAATTGCATATAGTATCCTAACTCTAATTATTCATTACTAGCAGACCCCGCCACGCATTGTTGTGGCTCAAAATGTATCTATTATAAATTTATAACACTTCCTCCATGGGGGGAATTGGGGAAATTTTTCGAAAAATTTCTTTTTAGTGTACATTCTGTTGACGTACCCTATTAAAATGCAATCAAAAATGCAAAAACCGCATCTAAAATAGTATAAATAGAAGCAGAGTTCTTTACGGTAAGCCTTAATCTTAACCATCTCCCTTCAGTGGGGTTGAATTTCGACATGTATATTATATAAAAACACGTGCATATTCGAATGCAACATTGTGTGAAAATTTCAAAGGAATTGGTAGGAACAGACAAACATTACATTTTTATTTATATAAATAGACAGAAGATGATTTGCTTTAGTTTATTTTAGAGAAAAGCATAATGCCTCACAGAAAAGCAAACTTAGGATGTCGTACTCGTAGCGCCATCTGTTGGACATAAAAGCCTTAACCTAGATTATATAATTTAATTTATATGAATGTTTAACGGAATAATATACAGCCTATGTCCACCCTGAAGTTCCATTCTAAATATTTGTGAAAGAATTTTTGAAATCGGATGAGTAGTTTTGGAGATTACTTGCTGCATACAAACTTACATACAAACATTACCTCTTTATAATGTTAGTATAGATTATTCACTTGTGGTCATTTACTAGCCCTCAGCTGGTCAACTACTAGAGCCATATGGTCATTCAATAGTGATTTTTAAATTTTAAAAACATCATGTACTTCATTTAATCAATATTACAGAAAATTAAAAATTCACTTTCTTAATGAGTAGTGTGAGTTCTTGGTAACCAGCAATTACCATTACTTATGTTAAATGTCTGTTTAAGTGATTATATTCAAATCTCCTTATCAAGGTGCTTAATTGGTCATTTACTGGTGCAACTACCCTATTTAGATTTTAAAAATGAGAGGCAAAAGTCTAAAGTACCCGACAGGTCTATTTTCTTTAATAGAAGACATGGTTAATGTAGTTGATTTGGTAAATATCATTTGATCTGAAATTTATAATAATAAAATATACTCAATTGCTAATTTAAAAAATATCAAAGAAACAGAAACTTTTCTATTGGATTACTTTTTACAGGCTAATTCCTTAATATTTCAGATAAATCTAGAAAAATAGAAAATTAAATCAGCGAGTTTGTTTTGGTCATAGCACTTTCCCATGTTTGTTTTTATGTCAGGACTGTGTTATCTATATATATAAAAATGAATGTATGTCTGTGTGTCTGTCCTTCATGCATTACCACACCATTTATCCGATTGCCATGAAACTTTGGGAAATTGTTTAATATACTCCCGCAAAGGTTTCTGACATAGTACATATACCCTACGATAGATGGCGCGAGTGTATACGAGCATTTCATCGTGAGATCGATGGATTTCAAATTGTGAAGACCATTTCTCCCTCCAAAAAATATCTCTATATATGCATTTGTGAACTGTTATTTACGATATTTGTAATAATTTTTGTTTAATCACTTTATTTCAACTATTTTTTGCTAATTATGTATTCGCTCAAACTTTGTTAAAACCTTAACTGTATCCCGAACAACAACCGAAGTTGTAGGAGGAAATTCGCCTATTTTACCGATCTAGGGATCCCCTTTTCCAAATTTTAATATGAACTCAAAATAATTTAAAAAGACAAATTACAATAAAACTGTTTATTATCCAACTATCAGAAATTTCACAACATGCCAAGGAAGAGAGGAAGGAGCAATTAAATAATTAAAATTGTAAAGGATTAAAAAATATATTAAAAATGGGGAATATAGCACTTCTGACAATCGCTGCAAGTATGTGGGCTAGATTTGGAGAATCCGTGCTTCTCACGTGGACAACTGTATGTGGCCAGCTCATGCATTGGAAAACTTCTGATTTATTCATGCATGCACCAGATGGAAAAACAAAAAATATCATGTATCCACAAGCACTCCAATAAATAAATAAATAGAATTGAAACGACACTTTGAAATGTTTTTCCGATGAAAATGAATTATAAGTTTCAATAAAAATGATAAAATGTAAATTGAATTTTATTATAATGAATTTGCTTGAATTTCATTTCTTCTGAGATCGCAGCAATGCGCGACGAGTAAGCTAGTTTAAAATAAAACATATTATGAGAGTCATCTAGAAAATAAGACTGTTTAGCTTTAAAGAAGAATGAAAAAATATGTTGTTGTTCAATTTTTATGTCTTTTTAAACATAGAACAATATACTATTTTTCCATATAATTATCTCTTTTATTTAAGAATTTATCATATCTGTTAATGTGTGAGAATCCAATATATCATTGATATTGTCATACTTATTCGATAATCGTTGTCAAATTACTACCTGAAAAAAATCTCCATTTACACTTTCTCGATGGCGAAAGTGACGCATTTCCACGATCTGCTGATCTCTTAGATGGGCAATATCGGGCTGATATTGAAATTGATGGCTGAAGAGTCAGTCGTTGCCTGTTTTTCTTGGATTAAAGTCTTCAAAAATTTTTCTGTGCCTGTGCCAAATTTTACTCGATTGGATTTTACCCTTGACCAATGGTACTATGGGGATGAACCTTCCCGACGATTTTGACCCAGACTTTCCTGATCTAGAACCTTCTGAAACCCTTCCAGAATGATAACAGGTTTTTTAGTCTCAAAGAGAATATCAACGAAATCTATCATCACCCTGTGGACATCATCGCCTCCAGCTGTTTATCAACTTGCAAACCACTGTAAACTCTCTCTCTCTCAAGAATTGTGGAAATATTTAGACCTGTTTTAACTGGATTTATTATAACTCGTTAACGCTATAAATTGTGTACAATGTATTTTCCTTTACAAATAAACAGTTGTTTAGTTAACCTGGCATCCAAATGATTCACTTTTGGTACACTGTCTCTCAAACCTTTTCCATCTCTAATCCAATTGCTCACACAAGTGGCTGCTCGCGTGACCACCGTTCTAATACCGAATCAACATGCCGTCTTGGCTTTTATGTCAGTCGGGATACGGTGGTGTCAGTCCTGACAAGGCGCTAAATAGGTGCTGACTCTCCAGTCACAAATGCTTTAAAACTTCTTTGTTGTATTTGTCTACTGCCAGTGCATTTAATCAATTGGTGATGTCAGTCAAACAACGGGAAATGTTCGAAACAAAATGGATATTTCATATCACTTTCACTGATTCATTCATTACCAAATCACCATACACCTGTTTTAAATGCTGATAAATATCATCCATTCTCACTTTTTGAGCATTCAAGAATTGAATAACACTGCTTATTTCACAAGTGGAAGGATTTTGTATGGTAAGATCCTTTTTAATGATGCACAAAGTTCACAAAACATACATATTCAGGCTTGCAGCTTTCAGAACACTAAGAAAACACATTAGGATGACAGACCAACTCTTGATTGTGGAATGTGAGTGACATGCACATTAACAATGTGCAAACAATTCTGGATAATCTATATAATAACAGTTCATTAAAGTAATTTTAACAGTTTGAAGTGTTTTTAATTATTTTTTTACATTACGTTATTTTCATTATGAATAAAAATAAAGAATAATTTTTGAAATTATAAATGAATTTTAATTCTAAAATGTGTTTTATTTTCTTTGCTATAAGATGTTTGAATTTAAACATTCTCCAAGCATAAATAATAAATTCATTCCTATTATTTTTGAAATTATTATATTATGGTTTCTAAACTATATTTTATATTTATTATATTTTAATAACTATTATTACTTTTAATCTTTAAAACATTACCACTAATTATTTCTTTTAATCAGGCCTGGAAAGAAACTATAGCTTGTTTCACAGATCAGTATAATGAAGCAATAGAGAATGTAAAATATCTTCAATCTTTACAAAAGTTTTATGAACCATTATATAGGAATAATTTAGTAAGTACAGTACAGTATATGAAATTAATAATAATGAAATCTGTGGAATTTCTGAATATTATCACTAAATAAAATTGATTACTTTGAATACAAATATTTATCATTAAAATTAAGACAAAATTCATTTCTGTTCAAAATATACTATGTCAAATCATTAATTCAAAAAATAAAAATTAGTTTTATAATTTTAAGAAATAGAGACATATTCTATTTGATAACCTATTGTAGAGAATCTTATTATAAAAAAGTTTATCTACAGTATATAAATATTTGTGAAATACAGCTGTTAAATAGCAATATTCAGATTATGTAGCTAATTTTTCTGGCATTTAGTAAAAAGATATTTATTAAAAATTAGTTTGTGCATAGCATTTCTATATATATTTAACTAGCAGTTACCTGTGACTTTGCCCGCAGAGGTTTTGCAAGCAAACCCCATTTATATTCAGTATTTCAACAACCGTAGTAATTGTTATATAACACCTACCGCTGAGAATGATGAGAATTGCTCAAAATCAAACGAACTATTTTCAAGTTGATCAATTTTCTGGAACGTTTACAATTGTTCTATAATCGAACCAATACGCAATAACAAATTCGAATTTAAAACGGTTCGAACATTTGGTTAAAAAATCGAAATATATAAAAACATTTATAACAATGTCTGAAATGTTATCAATTTAATACGCCTAAGTACTCAATGAAGACTAAACTTAACAAAAAATCGTATGTAAAATAGTACAGTAGAAGCCGTTCTTCTGGTTAAGCCTTAATGCTCTCCCTAGCCCCCCGCTGGGGAATTTCGAAAAATTCCTTCTTAGTGTGCATTCCCACGTTATACCCTACTAAAACGCAGATAAAAACAAAAAATCGCATCTAAAACAGTACAGTAGAAGCCGTTTTTCCGGTTAAGCCTTAATGCTCTCCCTCTCCCCCCGCGAGGGAATTTCGAAAAATCCCTTCTTAGTGTGCGTTTTCATGACGTACCCTAACTGTGTACCAAATTTCACCTCTTTAGGTTTAGCGGTTTGCTCTGGGCGATGATGAATCAGTGAGTGAGTCAGTCAGGACAAGCAATTTTATATATATAGATAATAGTAAGTAATTTTACTGATCCATAGGGCAATACAGGCTGGAACACAAGCCCTGGTAGGGACACTTATGCCAGTAAGGTCTATGGGGAGAAATGAAGCTAAGAGTGACCACATCCACATTCTGTGGATATATTTATCATGGTAGTAACCAAATCTAACTGTGATACTGGCTTTGACGTCACCCAGGTTAACAAGGTCACATTTGTGGGTTAAGCAGACTCTCATGTTCAAAAATTAGGCCACAATCTCCCTTGGTTACCGGTGGCAAAAGCAACGCCGGCCCAAGCATGGCTACTGCAATGCTTTCAACAGATGTGAGGAACCAACCTAGCCTTGCTGTTTCTGTGGCAATGCATCCACAGACTACAAAGGCTGAAAAACCATGCCAATGGGTGAAATCAACAACAGAAATGAACAAGTTTATCATCTGTACTTACATTATCATCACAAAACTCAAAACAAACATGACAGCATGAAGACAACAACTACACCATAGATTTATACGACAATATTCTCACCTCACTGTCACCGAACAAAGGGTTGTTGATCAAAAATGAACAATTATACACAACAACTTTATCCCACAAACAACACTTGAACTTAAAAAACTTAAACAAACACCTTAATATTCGCTGAGAGATTTTTAATGTAACAAACGTTTTCGATCTATTCGATAGATCATCTTCATGTTAAAAAGAATATTTTTTAAATGGAACATCAATTCAAAATTCAAAAATATTAATAACCAATAACATTTCCATTAATAAGAATAACTAAAACATTGTAAATGATACAAAAATGTAAAATAAATAACATATTACTCGTACCAAATATTAATACTATCTATCCTATCTAGACATAATTCCCTTTAAAATATACTATAGTTCATGCGCCTCTTGTACGTTTTTTAACGGCATATTTCTAAGCTGAAGGAAGACGCTCTGCGTCCCTTGCATTAATGCATTTTTCTTTTAGCTTGCTTCTGTAAATTTCTATCTTTTCAGCTGTTCTTGCCAAAGTTGGAGAGTGTATCTGTTTTAGGATTTCTGCTTCATTCCACTGAACCAAGGATTCTTCCGCTTGCGCCATCTAGGCTAATACTGTTGTATTAGAACCTTTTCTAATATCATACTTGTGTTCTTTGATCCTTATACCTAGGTTTCTAGTAGTAACCCCTACATAATTTTTATTTATACCTATTAGCTGGCGCAAGCAGAAGGATCCTTGGTTCGGTGGAATGAAGCAGAAATCCTAAAACAGATACACTCTCCAACTTTGGCAAGAACAGCTGAAAAGATAGAAATTTACAGAAGCAAGCTAAAAGAAAAATGCATTAATGCAAGGGACGCAGAGCGTCTTCCTTCAGCTTAGAAATATGCCGTTAAAAACGTACAAGAGGCGCATGAACTATAGTATATTTTAAAGGGAATTATGTCTAGATAGGATAGATAGTATTAATATTTGGTACGAGTAATATGTTATTTATTTTACATTTTTGTATCATTTACAATGTTTTAGTTATTCTTATTAATGGAAATGTTATTGGTTATTAATATTTTTGAATTTTGAAATTGATGTTCCATTTAAGAAATATTCTTTTTAACCTGAAGATGATCTATCGAATAGATCGAAAACGTTTGTTACATTAAAAATCTCTCAGCGAATATTAAGGTGTTTATTTAAGTTTTTTATTTATTTAATTCTGCTGGGTATGGGCGTGGTTTATAACACTTGAACTTATCAAACAACAGGCTGTTGATCAAATATATTAACAGACAGAAACATTTAACATTATTAATGAAGATCATGTAACCTGTCAGCATAATCAAGCAACAAACACTGATTATAGCACACACACACACAACTACCACTAATGATACTACAGACACTTCCTCATCTACCACTGATAACATAGACATAAATTTAGTTAATATGCTCTCACTTATATTTCAGGAAACACTCACTAAATATACAGGTAACAGATCCCACACAAAGACCACGAATACCAAAAGTCAACACATCAAAAATAGTAAGCAAAACACTAAATTACATAAACACTACATTCATTTAATTTTTACACTCTCAGACATTAGTTTATGCTGGGGCAGTCACAGTAGTGACACACCATGGACTGAAATTACAATCACAGACAGACACACACAAAACACAATTCTATCACAAGCCTGCCTGACAGAGAAGAACAGAAACACAAATAAATGACATTAGACAGCAGTTAGGCAGGCTGACACAATACACTAAAAACAACATAACATACAAATTAAAGAAACAACTCAAAAACATTTTCAAGAAAATCAAAACACACACAGAACATGAACATCACAACACACACATTACAGAATACATTGATACACTAAAATAGAAACTCGCAGCCAAAGCACGTAGACTCAAATGATACAAAACATGTACATTACAAAAACAACAAAATAAATTATTCACAAACAATGAAAAACTTTTCTACAGACAAATCAGTACCAAAACAAACACTGAAACACAGCACAGTGTCATTCCAACAGAAGAAGAACTCACAATTTACTGGTCTTCTATTTGGTCCAATGCTGTTACACACAATGCTAATGCAGGCTGGATCAAGGAAGAGAACAGAAACTTGCATAACATACCAACTATGCCCTGTGCTGAAAGAAATGTAGACGACATTCACTACACTGTTAACAGAACACACAACTGGAAGACACATAATGTAGACAACATTCACAATTTCTGATACAAAAAGTTTACATCACTGCACCAGCAACTAGCTAAACACCTATCACACATCATGATCAATTCACAAGACATGCCAAAATTTCTTACTCAGAGCATCACCTACATGAAACCTAAAAACAACAACCATATCACAGACCACACACAATACAGACCAATTACATGTCTCCCAACACTACAAATTATTGACATCCTGTATTGTAAACAAAATATACGAACACATTGACGGGTGGATCTACATAGGGACTAATAGGGCTTAAGCCTTGGGCCCCCAAAAAATGAATTATCATCATACTTTTTCATTAACAATGAATACTTATCATGTAGTAAAAAATAGTTCATTGGTTAGGTTTGGTAAAAATGAGACCCTATTGGACTTCAATCAGCCCTAGGTCTCGAAAAACCTAATTCCGCCCCTGCATGTTGAACATGACATTCTTACAGAATGACAAAAAGATTGCCATAGAAATCACAGAGGATGCAAAGAACAGTTACTCATAGATTTAGTCATTGTATGGCACAAACAATACAGAAACATACACATGGCATATATAGACTACAGAAAAGTATTCGACAGCATTCCACACAGTTGGCTGCTACATATTCTACACATGTACAAAATAGCTCCATCACTCATTGCATTCTTTCAAAACTCTATGCAGCACTGGAGAACATCTCAGGGTTCATAACACCTTACAAACAAACCAAATATTCATCACGCGAGGAATTTTTCAAGGAGATTTCTTGAGTTGTCTCTGGTTCTGCCTAGCTTTGAACCCATTATCCAACATGTTAAAGAACATATAATATGGCTACAATATCAGACATGAAAAAACAACACAGTTTACATTGTCTCATCTCATGTACATGGACGACATAAAACTTTATGCATCCACACAAAAACAACTACAGCAGCTCCTACAATTACACATTCATACACCAAGGACATACAAATGGAGTTTGGCTTAGACAAATGCAAAAACTTCACATAGAAAAAGCAGTCCAGAAGAAAGAATATTTTGCACTTGGAAATGGAGATGTTATTGAATCCATCGAAGAGGGTGAGTTCTACAAGTATTTAAGATTCCAACAGGCCAAACTAACAGAAAATACACAAATAAAGCAAAGATTCCATGTAAAGATTGGTAATCCTTCCATGTAAAGATGGCAGACGTGGCCTGATCGACTTAGTAACCCTTCACTACAAACAAATATAGTCACTGCAAGAGTTTTTTTTTTACAAAAAACAAGAAACATCACAATTACATAAAGCAGTAACTCTAGTGGACTTAAATAACACATCATTAAATTTACACTCAAAATGTACGGACATGACACAACATATAAAAAGAAACCATTAAGCAATTGTGGGTTCAAAGGGCACTCCACAGCAGGCATCCCTATGACCTGGCCCAGGAATTTGTTGACAAAACTGCATCAAACAGCTGGTTAGCTCAGGGATGTCGTTTTGGAGAGACAGAAGGATTTATAATTGCCATACAGGATATGGTCATAAATACTAAAAATTACAGAAAACACATACTGAAAGATACAACACTCACAAATGACATGTGCAAAAAATGTTACATTATGCCAGAAACTATACAACACATCACTTCTGGTTGCAAGATCTTGGCACAGACAGATTATTTACATAGACATAATCAAGTAACAAATTACTTCAAGAACTTGCAAAGAAACACAAATTATTAGACATTTACAAATTATACTAAAATACATTCCACAGACAGTATTGGAAAACAACATGCTCAAAATGTACTATGACAGACTCATAATCAGAGATAAAACAATTTATCTTAACAGACCAAACACAATAAAATCACATATATTATAGCCATATCTGTTCCAAACACTCACAATACACAAAATATATGCACTGAAAAAGTCAGCAAGTATACAGAACTAGCCCAGAAAATAAGGCATCTCTAGAGGACGGATAGGGTGTTTATTGTACGTGTTGTCCTCTCTATAGGTGTCATATCACACACACACTACACAAAAGCCTGGGAACATTACAATTTAATAGAAACACATACATAACACTACAGAAGGTCACTATAATTGAATACATCTCACATTGTTAGGAAATTCCTGAATACAGACATACACACTGACACACTTATTTAATTTTTGTTCAGTTTTGGTTGCTATGCCTTGACTGGTCTGGCATAGTACACAGCAACCAATATCAACTGAGTATAACTCATTAAATCCAACCTACTAATGGTATATTAATACAAATAATAATAATAGTAAATTTGTTTAATATCTTATTAAGAAGAGTGATACCTTATTAGTTACTTGTATTTAATCAAAACTTATTTACTGTGTTGTTAATAAATTGGAAAATGATTGTTTTTGTAAACAAATAATTTTTGAATTGATCTACACTTTTGTGAATCAAAAAAATTTTAGTTTTCATGTAAAACTGATCAAAAATCACTTTAAATATTAATTTTATGATATATCCTCGAAAGATTTTTAAAAATTAATTTAAAATCTGATTATTCTAAATTTTAAGGCTTGGGACAGACTGGTGACTTGATCTGCAACCAAAATGTTGTTACCAGGTTGGTTGTCTGAGGGTGTCAGGCTAGCAAATGCAGTTATAGACATTTTTTCTAACTGAGAGAGATACTGTGATTTAAAAAAATGTCATCTCTGAGTGAATATGATCTGATGTTCACTGTTGTTTATACTGCAACAGATGATAACTTGAACACCTGTATGACAGGATACAAATTATAACATAATGAGTGTTTCAAGTTGTTTCAGCTCACTGTCACTACACCCAAAAGATGCTTCCATCTGTGTTCTCAAATCTGAAGCTATGTCTAGTTAGCAACTCTGACTTTTCTCATATGAAATAATGCAACACACTAGAGTGACCTGGCTGCAATGTCTTGGTTGCATTGACTAAGTCACAAGTCTGTTTTTGGCCTTATATGAATTATATAATACAAATTTTATAAAATTATACAAATTTATTCCAGAAATTTATCGTAAAACTTCCTAAAATTAAAAGTTTTAAAATTCTTAGCTGTGAATGGATTTGGGTTGTTTGGAGAGATTAGTAGAGAACATTTTTTTAGAAAGAAATTGTTCTATTTGACAGTGGTTTCTGAAGCAATACTAAGAAATTGTTTTGTTTTGAAAATTGCTGTTTGAAGGGTTTTAATAGTTTCATTTTAACTAGGTTTTTGTTTTTTATAGAATGTAGTTTCTGAAGCAATACCAAACCTCATTAATTCCATTCAAATGACACATTCTGTATCAAGATCATATAATACTTCAGAACATATGACATCTTTATTTGTAAAGGTAAAGTTTTTTAAAATAATTTATATAATTTTAAATGTAAAGTGTGAATTTAAAAAATAAAGTAACTTTTTGTAAAGTACTGAATGTAAAAATCTTTGTTGCTTCTAGGTAACGAATCAATTAGTTCAAACATGTAAAAATTATTTGAAAACCAACTTAAATTTATCTCCATGGGATCAGCCTCAGAATATTGTAAAGGAAAAGATGAATGCTTGTTTGGCATTAAGCAAAAAATACAGAAACTGCTTTCATAGAATTAAAAAGGAAGCAATTGATATCCCTGGACGACGTCCATTTATTTTTTCTGAAATATATGTATTTGGAAGATTTGATAACTTTTGCAAGAGATTGGAAAAGGTGAAAAAATTGCTATTTTAATTTATTACTAAATATTTACAGTATTTTAAAATTAAAATTTTTAAACTTACATATGTATATAGTGTGAATATAATTGAAAGTAAATGTTCAGAGCTCTCTGTAGAAAGAACTAGTGAGCATATATACTGTGGCTGTATGTCATATTAGTGTATATATTAATTTAGGTATAGTTTTAGTTTTCTCCTTTGTTCTTCGTTTCTTCTTCCAGAATTTTCCTTTCTGACTCTTTTCCCTTGGGTAGGGTGACCGATTTTTGGAACCATGGAAAACAGTGAAAAAAAAAGAGGCCCTGGGGCCGGTGAGATAAAGAAATGACATTCTTTGGCCCAGACCTTGAGGTGGACAGACATCAAATGTGGTTGTTATGTATGTATACCTCCAGGGGATAAACCACACTAAATTACTTCTTAACCTGACCCTGCACCTCTTACCTTAGTTGTGTTCCTTTGCCTCTGGTCAGTTGTGCATTAGCTGTTGTAACACTTAGACCTGGAGGCACGAAGTTATGTTTGTATTATAATAAAGTTAATTATATGTTAACAAGTAATCATTTATTTTATGGACACAACAATTGATGACAAGGAGGTAAAATTGGCAATGAGGATAAAAAGGATATAAATCTGACGAGGAAAAAAGGATATAAAAATGAGTGAACTTACAGAATTAATTTCAACTCTAACTGTGTTTATCAAGAAACTACAGAGTCAGTCAGTGGAGATGAAACCAGAACTATCAGTTCAACGAGTTCTCCAAACGCAAGCCCTAACCTTCAAAACTTACGAAACATCCAAGACCTTTCAAAACTATTACCAAAGACTTTTTTATAACTTTTTCAAAATCAAAGGACTAACTGGAACAGATGCCATTACTGAAGAAGCTAAGGTTACTTCAGTAATGCCTTAGCTTCTTCAATTAATCAATTGTCGTGAACCAAAGCATTATCAGCTACTGATCAACATAATGGCACCAGAAATACCCTCTAGCTGAACCTTTGCTGAATTAACCTATTCGATGTTGAAATTTTTATTTGTTGCTGTGATGCCACGTTGAATTTTCGTTGATGTTAAGCCTAAATTTTTTTTAAAATAATAATTATGTATACTGTATCATAAAAAATTATTTTTTTTATGTTTCACAAACAAAATGAATATATTGAATAATATACAAACAAAAAAAATTATATTTTAAAAGTTCTGTATAAAATTTGTCATAATGTTGAGAGTGCAATTCATATGTGGTTTACGAGATTCCAACATTTGTGAGAAAATTCTACAACAAACTGACCTAAACTTTTGACATATTCACTTCCACAGTAGGCCAAATACCTAATTATATTTGCTCATTAAAACTGAGAGACCAATGTTTTTAAAACCACACCCACTTCCTTATGCATTGAATGAAGAAGTGGGTAAGGAATTAGATAAATTAGAAAGTGTGGGTATCATCAAAAAAGTGGATTATTCAGAGTGAGGAACATTCATTATCCTGAAACCCAATGGAACAGTACAAAATTGTGCCGACTATAAGGTCACAATCAACAAGCAGTTGCACGACTGATGCCACATCCAGTTGCATGATTATACCATCAAACATAGGAAGTCGATTGAACATACAAATACCGATTACCTGTCACAGAACACTATACCCTTAACAAGGAAAGAAGCCCTTACAGAAGACCACGATGATACTTATCATAACACTGTTGTTTAACATATCTCAACTGGAACTATCACTGCCAAGGACATTTGAAGAGAATCATCAATTGATAAGGAACTATCACAGATCATAAACGACATTGTCAATGGCCATATGTACAACCCAGAAATATCCACACACAATGGCATTCTGTTTAGAGGACACTGTGTAATCATTTCAAGAAATTAACAGCCAGCGGTCCTGCAAGAGCTACACTCTACACACGTAGGAATTGTTTGAATGAAGGCCCTAGCCCAAATTACTGTTATTGGTGTAATATTGACTCTGATATTGAGAATATGGTTAAAAGTGGCAAAGAGTGCTGTGACATTAAGAAAAACCATACTAAAGCCGCAATACACAAATGGGAAATGCCTAAAAAATCTGGCAACATATACACATCGATTATGCACCATTCATGAATCATTATTTCTTTATTTTGTTGATGCCAAATCAAAGGGGCAGGAAATATTCTATACAAAGAAAGCACCAGACACATCCATCACAATTCATTTTCTACATGAAATCTTTAATTGATTTGGTCTACCTGAGATTTTAGTAAGTGATAATGCAAATATTTTTAAGTCACAAGAATTTCAAGAGTTTTGTTTGAGAAACAGAATCGGTCAAAGCTTAATAGCACAGGGACAACCAGCCACAAATGGCCAGGTTGACACACCTTAAAAACACACTTCAAATGTATGAAGTATGAAAGTGGTATCTTACATCAGAAGCTTCATGAAGTAATATTCTGATATGAAGCAATTCTCTTATCTAATGGGAAAAGTCCAGCATGAAACTTACTAGGACATAGAGTAAGAACAAAATTAGATCTGCTCAAACTTCAGGCACAAGCCTCCCAAAGGAACAACCGAACAATCAAAATTCTACAAATTTTATTGCATGGGAGATCGTTTACAATCCTGAAATTACACAACGTCCAGTCCATGGAAATATGGTATGGTAGCTGAATGACTAGATCATGTACATTACTTAATTGAATTCAATGATGGATACATAATAAAAAGGCATTATGATCAACTACGTCTATGTGAAATTAACAAACAGACAAATCCTATTCAGATAGGATTCGACTTCAACAAAAAGAAAATTGACAGGTGTAACAACATAGAAAACAATAGAGACTCATCCCCAGCTAGCACTAGTTCACACCCAAGCACAATTAGCTGTGATGAAGGAACTGTAACGACATTACTCAACAAAAAGGAGACAATGATGAAAACAACTTCCAACCAGCCCCAGAGGAGAAGGAAGAATCTAACTGAACAATGACAAACTCAAATGAATCGGAACCTTGACAATCAATGCGAATACAAAGACCAGTACAACGCCTAAATCTCTAAACGAACAAATTTTAAACATTTTATTAAGCGTGAGAGAATTGTTATGTATGTAAACCTCCAGGGGATAATCCACACTGAATTTCCCCTTGACCTAGTTAGACAATTCCATACATCTGACCTTTGTTGTCTTCCTTTGTCTCCGGTCAGTCATGTGTTAGCTGTTGTAACACTTAGACCTGGAGGCACAATATTACGTTTGTATTATAATAAAGTTAATTATATATGTTAACAAGTAATTGTTTATTTTACGTACAGAACAATGGTGCTCCAGGTTGTGAAATGCAATGACTGGAGAATTCGAGAGAGTTTGAGAAGAGAATTGGATGTTTATTGTGGTTATGATAAGAAAAGGTGTAGTAACTAGGTGCAAGGAGAAACCTAGTAAAGACAATGACAACAGACTTTTCAGAAAAAGGTTCAATGTGGTATCCCACCCAAATTGTGAAGTCCAGCAAAACCCCGGGTATTTCACTCTGTACTATATTTTATTTTTCTAAATTCTCTATTTACTATCATCTTCTTTCTTTCCCTAATTTTAAATTAGCACATAGGTATTAGTCATAGTTTTTGGTCACCATTTATACTTGTCGCGAACAGTACATTTTGTAATTGTCTGCCGAAATATTGTTCGACACTATTGTAATAAATTACTGCGTAGTTGGAATCCAAAAGAACCTGTTCATATATGTGAAATAAAATACTTTATTTGACTATACTGTCTCTTTGTTATTGATACGTCTTTCCTCTGTCGATCTATGTACATTTTGTGTTAACATCACATACTAACTTCTGTGACCAAAAGTATCAGGAATAGTTTATTTAAAGTGCATGCATGTAAAAGGGCTTTGTTGTCAATTTTTTTAATTTTATTTTTTATTTAATTTTTATTTATCATTTTTTCGTTTGTTTTGACTTTAATTGATATCTGGTAGCAATCAGCATGTCATCGTCTGTTTTCATTTTCAAATAAACACTTGTTTTGTGTGTAAAGAATTTTTGCACCAGTGATTTTTTTCAAAATTTTTAGTATAATTGAGCATAGAACATGTATTAAATTTTGTTTTTGCAATGGAATTACTACTATAAAAATATTACAGAAAGACTTTGAAGATGATATTGTATCAAAAACAAGAGTTTTTGAGTGGTACAAGGTGTTCAAGGAAGGCAGAGAATGCATTGAAGGTGAACCACACTCTGGTAGACCATCCATTTCAACTGATGAACAATGCATTGCTCAAGTCAGAGATTTGGTGATCAATGATTGTTGTTTAACAATCAGGGATGTTATTGAATATGTTCTGATATTATTTGGATCTTGTCAAGTAATTTTAAAAGATCATTTGGGCTTGCAGTGCATTGCTTCTTGAGTCATTTCAAAAATGTTGAATTTTTTCCAAAAACATGTCAAGTAGTTGATGAAATGCTTTTTCAAGGCAAATCATTTTTAAAATGCATCATTATGGGTGATGAAATGTGGATGTATGCTTTTGATGCCAAAACAGCTCAACAATCAAGTAAATGGCATTTGAAAGGTGAAGCAAGACTGAAAAGACTACATCAGTCAGTCAAAAATCAAGGTCATGTTGATTGCTTTCTTTGAGTGTTGCAGTGTTGTGCATCACAAATTTCTTCCAACTGGCCAAACTGTCATTAAAAAATATTATTTGAGCATTTTGCATTATTTGCATGAAGCAATTCATAGAAAATGATCTGATTTGTGATAAGATTCTGGGATTTTGCACCACGATAATACATCTGCTTACATTTGTTTGTGAATTTTTGGCCAAACATTCAATAAATATGGTTGCACAAGCTCTGCATTCACCTGATATGGCACTATATAACTTTTTCCTGTTTCCTCGACTAAAATTTTTGCTTGGTGGTTATTGTTTTGAGTTTCTTGATACCATAAAACGAAATTTGTTGCAAATCTTGAAGGAGTTGTACAAAAACAACTTTAAAGCATGTTTTGAAAATTGGAAAAAATGTTGGCATAAGTACAGTACATTGTAGTGAGAGGGGATTACTTTGAAGGGGACAAAATAAATTTTGATGAATAAATTCAAATCTTGCATTTTATTGAACCATTCTTAATACTTTTTGATCTCGGGAATATACTGTTCTGAGTATATTGATTTTTATTTTCAGAAATAAAAATTTTACTTTAAAATTCAGCTGCTAGGATAAAATTTGGCACTACTGTTCCTTTAATGTGCATATTACATAAACATTTTCTGAACACCTTTCGTGTTCTTCCTCAGGTATTCTAGCTGGATTATTTTTATTCTGGAACACCGTTACAAAATCTTAAAATAAAATAAAAATAAAATGAACGATGACAGTTTGGTTGCCCAGTGTCCATCGTGCATGCGTTGTACAAGTTGTGTTCTCCGCTGTTCAGATTTGTATTAAATCTTCTAATCCACACGTATTTTCTCTTTTCATAGGATGCACTACAGTAGAACCTCAATTATCCGCCCTAATTGGGGACTGGGGTTGGTCGGATAATTGAAAAGTCAGATAACCAAAAAGTATGAAAAAATCCATTATTAGTGTAGTATATTATTATATCCCATGTAATTAGTATATTAGTATATTTGTGTTGAATTTTCATCGATGTTAAGCCTAACAAAAATTTTTTAAAATAATAATCGTCGCTATTGTATTGTTAAAAATTAGAAAATTAAGCTTCGTTTAAATACTGGCTCCCTTTCATGGTCGAATGAGTGTTGCCAGCTAAAACACGTAAAAATAATATTAAAGTAGCCAAGACATAGCCAAATATTGTAGCGCCACATCAGTAGCGGACATTTGAAATTTGCCGACTAGGACGGTCGGTTAACCGAGGGGTCGGTTGATCGGGGGGCGGATAATCGAGGTTCTACTGTATTCTTACATTTGACGTTACATGTCCCCGCGCATCATCAGACATTAAATCAATCCTTATGAATCACTATGCAATATGGCCTGCCACGCCAACGAAAGAGCCATTTCCTCCTGGGAATTAATGCATTCAGATGAAGTGTGCGCCTTATATATCTCTATAGTCTCTAGCCCTTTGAGGTGGTCCATCTGTGTCATTTTGACTATTAATGCTGCCCCTGCGAAGCCATCAGTAATATTCGGGTCAGAAGCATATACTGAGAGTGACGTGGTGGCTCTGTTGTATCGTATGTCAGATTTGTGTTCTCTTATCCTTACCCCCATAAAGCGTTTCATAGACCTTATGTAGATCAAATCCCTATTGAATCTTTCATCTCTAACAGGGATCCGATAGATGCCCAGCAATTTAATCGGGTCAGATGGGTTTTTTTTCATTACACAAAATGTCAAACATAGTTAGGCCTCTCTTGTAAGTAATGCTGACATTACGTCTTTTGGCTATAGCTGTATATATAGATCTCAAGATAGGGTTGAATGTAATTGAAATCCTTTCAACATCAATACCGTGGTTGTCCCTCAGTCTCGTCATAGAGGTGTTGTGAGACATTATTGCTATTCTGTGGCGTTGTGAGATTCTTGGAATAAGATTGTGGTAGCCATGCATATCGGCAATCTTCTTAATGTGTGTTAACTCTTCCCTAAATTCCTCTTGTGTAGATGAATGAGAATATGCTCTTCTAACCAATGATCTAAAAGCGGCCAATTTGTATTGAAACGGGTCACAAGAGTCACTCGGTATATATGTGGAGTTTGCACATGATTTACAATAGACGGTAATGTGGATGTTTGGTCCTTGAATTTTGATATCAACATCTAAGAAATGGACATTAGTGTCGCTGTGTTAATCCACTTCGAGTGACAGCCCATACGGATTATCATTCATCGCTTCTACAAATCGTGCCAAGCTTGGTGTTGTTTTCCATACAATAATAACATCATCTATGTATGTATCTTCTGTATAGCATGATGTCCTGCTAGAATCTCGGAAGGATGCTAGACTCTAGTTGTCTCACCACTAACTCACACAAGTCTCTGGACACTGGACTGCCCACCGGGACTTCTCTTGACTGTGAATATGTTACCCCGTTGAATTGAAACACAGAACTATAACAAATTAGGTGAGCCAATTCCAACACATTCTGGTGGAGCACTGTGTCGTTTACTCGCGCGAATAGGAAGTTTCTAAGAGTGCAAAAACATGCTGATATCTTAATGGAAGGGTACAATGATTTAAAATCCAAAATCGTGATGCAGTCCAGGGAGGTGATCACTTTCAACTGATCGATTAATTCAACGGGATTAGAAATGGTAAACGGGTAACCACTTAAGTGCAGCATAAGTATGTTATGGATTGATTTCTCCAATTTACGAGTAGGCGCCTTGGCCTTATCTACAATTGGTCTAAACTGTTGGCCTTCTTTGTGCATTTTCGCAAACACAAATAACTTAGGAATGTCTGGGTTATCCATTGTAATGCCCCTCAGGTCTAATTTCTTGGCCAACTTTGTAACAGATAAGCATTTAACCCGTGAATGTAATTTCTCTATCCATTTATTTTCTACTTTGTTACATTGCGTAACATCAATGTATTCCTGCAGCCCTCTCTCATATGTTTCCCTTTTCATGATTAACAGGTTCTTTGCTTTATGTGCCCTTATTATCATAACCACATTCAAATTTGTCCATCTGAGGGTACGTTTAATGTTTTCCTTAAGCTTGATAACCTTCCTAGAGTCCTTGGTGTTTTTTATTTTGAGGGCGGCTACCAATCTGTAGTATTCCTTCTGTATGTCCATGAGGCCCCGTAAGAATCCAGCTAGAATACGTGAGGAAGAACATGGAAGGTGTTAAACAAATTTTTGGGAGTTAAAAAACAAAGTGCAATAATTCTACTTTAATTACAGATATAAAATGTGGAATTGATGATTATATCAAAGATACAACTGACTCTGCCCTCCATCTACATGCCCTAAAAACTGCATTTGCTGCATGACATACTTAATGCAACTGACCTGTGTAGTCACACATGTTGTGAAACTCTATTTTTAAGACAGTTTAAATAAGACTAAAGATAAAGGATGCTGTGAAATGATACCAAAATATGTGGTTTTACAAAGATGCACAATTGAATTTGTCAGTGAATGTGTGGATTTTTGTCAAACCAAATAGAGCAATTATGAGTGTTTACATCATCATGCAAATGAAAATGAGTCTCATTATTCCATAGAATTTGCCACAATATGTATCATTAATCATTGGCCAAGCTATGATTGTTATGGCAATTGTTTTTCTTTTATCATTATCACTGATAACCAATTCTTCACTATGGGACATCTTGTATGAATAAAAATGCAAAATTTATCACAGAACTTGCCACATTGTCATGTAGGGCATGTCTGATTGTTTGTGCACTGCTGTTGCCATAAGAGTTTTTTCTGTGATTTGCTACTATAATAGCAAGTCTTCTGTTTTCAGATTCTGATCAGTTTGTCATTCCATTCTGGTTTTCAAAGACAAAAGTTCTAGACTTCAAAATGCAAAATCATTTTTCAAAAATTTTTAATAGTCAAAGAATTTTTTTATAAAGCTTTTAAGTGCCAAAATTCTTTGTGCTGTAGTGGCTTTACTGTTTCATTGATAGAAGAGTTTAAAAAATAATGCATGATCATGCAAAGTGTGCACCATGACTGTTCTTTGGTCAACGAATTATGAAGAATATTTTGAAACTTTTTTATACATGATATTCATTATAAAACATTATAATATACAGTACACAATAAAGAGACAACAGCACCAAATTTTGCTGTAGCAACTAAATTCTGAAATCAAATTTTTACTTAAAAATTGAAACTGTATATTCAAGAACAAATTGTTTACCAAATTTGCTGAGATTTTCACAATAGTTCTTTCTACAGAGAGTGCTTGAACACCTATTTTTTAATTATGATCACCCTATATAATAGCAATTAAAATTTTTAAATTTATATAACAGATAATAGAACTGATAGATGAAATGAACAGATATGAAATATTAGCTGTTAATTGCATAGGACCACTACTAAAGATTGGAAATAAATTTAAAAATGCTTGTGCAGCTATAAAATCCACATCTTATGACTTTTATGATTATCATAATAAAGAAATTGATAAATCTATTGCCAACTTTCATGATCAGATGAAAAAATTAAAGGTATTCAACTTGATTATATATTTTTATCTATTCTAATTTTTAATAATTCTGTTACTAAAAATTTTTATGAAGTTTTCTTAATATTCAAAGTATGTATAATTAAAATTTTAATATTTAGGAAGATATACAAGATATTGTTGATAAGAGATTTGCAAAAATTAATTATTCATATCTTGCTTTGAAAACGCTAAAGAGGTATTTAATGCACTTTTTACCCTAATATATAGATAAATTTATTTAGTTTAATGATTTTTCTTAAAATATATAAATTTTAAACTGTATAGGGAGAAGGTGGTATTATGGAACCCCTCCATTTCAAACTGATAATAAAGGACTGTAGTGGATTGTGGCTGAACTGCACTAAGCAGACATCCATAGCAAGGGAAAAACCCGTTTCACTTCAGTTAAAAGGTTGTCTGTAGTAAATTAGCATATCTGTGTTTTTCGAAATTCGAAAGTTTTGAATGCTAAGTGAATTTAATTATTTCTAAAATATAAATTGTGTAGTTGTAGGATCACTGGTGCATGTATTTTGTTCCAGAGACTTAGGGATACATATTAATCTGTGTGATGTTCACATTTTTTAAAATTTGGTCTCAACAGACATAAATTAATTCAAGATGACGATGCCATCTTAAATGGCATCGCCAGACTCCATTGGTGCTTTTAATATGTAACCCGTCTAACTTTTGTAAAAGTATGTGGTAGATGAATGAAAAAAATAGAAGGAAAATGAAAAAAAATTAAAATAGTTACCTAACACTATAGGAGCATTATATTTGTGATTTTTGTAAATGATTAGTTTCTTCTTTGTACATTTCTTTATTATTATTATTATTATTAAATCATTTTTTTGATAAAATACATTGGAGTAAATAATTTTGTAATTATTTAACATTCTCTGTACTTTCCTATTTGTTTTTGGATACATTAAAGCATTTTTTGAAAACATACATTAAGGTTCTGTATTACCACCCTGTTTTTCCTAAGCCTACTTTCTGACTTTTTGTACAGAAGCCTTCAAAAATCATACCTATAGTTACACTAGCGAAAAATTCAATTAGGAACATCTAGTTTAATAGTTACCAGTACTTTTCGCACAAAAAATGTGGGTGTAGTTATAATATCTTGTTTACAGTAAATTCACTATAATGAAAATGGGGTTCCATAATACCACCTCCTCTATTTTATTAAATCTGATGAATATCTAATAACAGTAGAATCTGGTTTAACAAACATTTTCAGGAAGAGAGACTTTGTAATTGACAGGTATCTACTTAAGACAAGTATCTGTTTAAAAATTGCTGTATATTTTATAACACCAGTTGCTTCATAAATAATTGGTATATTTTGTTCATGTTCGTTTTATATGGATTTTAATTTTTATCAGTTTTGCATTGTTAAAGAATGTGTGATGAGAACAGAATTCAGAAATAGTCAAAGAATTGCTGAAATTACAGTACTGTAATATTTTTACATGATAAAGGATTTATATAATTTTGCACACTAGGAGCATTATATATCATTTTGTACTAATTTGTAATGAGTACCAAATGTAATAATTGAACATTAGTGATTTATTAATTACCTAACTTCACTGCCTGTAACCGGCATTCTTCTTCTCCAATACGAAGGACTTTGCAAATGTTTTTGAACCTAATGTGGTTTTTCTTAAGGCGCTACGGAATTCCTTATATGAATTCGAATTTCCAGTCTAGAATTAACCATTATTTTGGAAAATCTTTCTGGAACGTTGTCATGTGTTACCGATGGCGTCATTGTAGACTTGCGCATTATCCGTATGTTGTTACTTTAGAGATTTATTGAGGAAGGCTTCCCATGCTGTTGATATCTTCATTTCTTGTTTGAAGTTAATGCAGTGCTTATTCCTGAGGGTGTTAAGGCAAATGTATATGGCCTCTAGCCATCTGAGGTGTTGTGTGCTGAACGTGGTGTGAATAATTCTGGCTAGAGGAAATAGCGGCTCTATTTCTGGGTCAGATCAGTATACCGCTAAGGCGGTGTTGTTTCTATGATGTAGGATGTTCGCTTTGTGTTCCTTGATTCTAGTTACTAAGTTGTGTTTAGTGGACCCGATGTAAATTGCTTCTCTGTTGTCTCTATGATCTATGATGGGCACAGAGTATACTCCCAGAAGTCTGTTGCTGTCTGGAGAGTCTTTTCCATTTCTAAGCCAATCGAATATTGTGGTGCACCTCCTAAATGCCAAGCGGACATTCTTTTTCTTGGCTATCTGGTTGTATATGGCCTTAAGTGCCGGGTTGTACGTGATTGGTATGTACTTAACCAGGGAATCATTGGAACGAGAGGTGTTGTTGGATTGTTGTTTGAGTACATTGTTGTTTATCTTGCATAAGATGTTGTGATAGCCATGTTGTTTAGCTATTTGCTCTATGCGTTGCATTTCAGAATTGAAAGCTGATTGTGACGAGGAATGTGAATATGCTCTTTTGATTAGGGTGTTGAATCCTGCCATCTTATACTGTGGTGGGTCACATGATGTTGCAGGTATATACAAAGGTTGAGCAGTTGGTTTATGATACACCTCTGTATTGATGGATGATCCCTCTATTTTGATGTTAATGTCTAAGAAGTGCGCTTGGGCAGGGTGGGCTTGGTCTATTTCCACCGTTAATCCATAGGGATTATTGTTGATGGAGTCGATTTAGCGTCAAGATATTTGGGATCTTCTTCCATAGAATAAGGATATCATCGATGTATCTTTTGTATAGAAGAATGTGTGGGAGTTGAGATGGTAAGAATTCCGATTCAAGTTTCCTCAACACAATCTCTCAGAGGTCTCCTGCGACTGGGATTCCCATTGGTACACCACGTTGTTGTTGGTAAGTGACTCCGTTGAATCTGAAGAAAGAGTTGTGGCAGAGCAAATGTGACATTTCTAGGATGTCATGTTGTAACATGTTATCTTGGATCATTTGCATGAGCATATCTCTTATGGCACAAAATAGCAATGGGAGATTGATGGAAGGATATAAAGATTTGAAGTCCAAGACAGTTATGAATTTCGGAGGTGTCGATATCTGTTTAAGGATGTTAACTAGGTTTGCCGATCTGGTTATGGTGTGTGGGTATCCATCCAGTTGAGGTACTAATAATCTGTGTGTAGCTTTCTCTAAATTAATAGTTGGTATTCTGGCCTTGTCCACCACAGGTCTGAGTTCTCTTCCTGGTTTGTGAGTTTTTGCAAATGCAAAAACTCTGGGGGTGTCAGGTGCGGCTGTAACAATGTTGGTCGTTCCCAGTCGTTTCGCTAGTTTAGAGCTCACGAAGCATTTTACCCTGGCTTATAGGTTGTTGATGGCATTGGCGGTGACGATGTTGCATTGAGTGTTGTGGATATGGTTTTCTACTAGTTTATTATAGGTATCTCTCTTCAAGAGGACCAACGAGTTGCCCTTGTCTGCTCTGATGAGAGTTATATTATTTGCGTGCATCCATCTGCGAGAGCGCTCTACCTTATTTCTTATTTGTTTTTGTTCTTTTGCTTCCTTGGAATTTTTGAGAGTATGAGTGATTTATTAATTTAGAGATTCCTTTAATTTAGCTTCCCTTACTATCTCTCTCCTTCTCAGCAATGTTAAATATAAATATGAACACACCTGAATTCTACTTGCCGAGTATTTTTCTCTTTATTCAAACATTTTCAGCCTATTTGGATAGGTCATCCTCAGGCTTCCCTTATTATTTTGGTTTTTCTCAGTTAACTAGTTTTCAAGTTTTTTGGGTTTTTCTGAGGTGTTCTTCAGCCTTTTCAGTTGTAAGTTCATAGTTAGGCCTTACTAGGCAAATTTCAACTGCCTAGCCATTTTCATAGCTTTTTCGGTGTTAGTTAGTATTTTGGCATTTTTGTGGTTTCTGTTTTTTGTAGTTAGTTTTCCCTTTGTAATTTATTCTCTTAGCAGGTGCTTTGTAAAGTACTATATTATTTTTCCGACTTTCCAACGATTATCGTCACTACTGTGTGCCGGAAATAGCCGTTCCCTAACGGGTACTTTACGCGGATTCGCGTTAGTGTGCTAGGCCTGGACTTTAAGCGTGCACCGAATTAAATAATGACAAAGTTTGTCAATAACAAAATCAAATATTTAATTAAACTTCTATTAAAAACTCTATACAGTATTTAGTAAAAATCAAACAATAATTTATTCAATGAAACTCAACAAGAATCAATCCGACAAACTCAAATCAATCTATTTCTAACTTAATTCTATTCCCCTTTGGAATTCGACAAAATCAAAGAATTAACTTATAAACAATAATTCTTATAAATTAAAGATCCTAATCGTCACCTCAATATACTAGGAACCTATTTCCTCAACTCTCAAGACTTTCTATAATCGTCGATCCACAAATCGAATAAATTCAAAATCCTATCGGACACCTCTCTCGTTCACTGCTACGAAGCTCACCAAAGCTCGTTGCTATCAGGAATTCACCTCGTTCGTTTTCACTTGAGTTAGAGGCTTTATAGTGTGAGGTGACGTCACAATTCTGAATGAGCTCACTCTCCTCATTTACATACTTATCTGTAACATTAAATTTTTCTTGTTTATCTGGCAGATTATTTTCCGACAATACTTCGCTAACCTTTTACATTATTCTTTTTAACAATTATCGGGATGCTTTATTATTTTAAGGTTTAGCGATTCCTAACTGGGTTGTGGGGTCTTCCCCCCCCTTTTTCTCGGTGCGGACTTACTTTTTCCGCTTGGGAAGCGCAAGTGTGCGCGAGTTTTTCTACGGCGCTTTTCTTTCGTCGGTGAGTTGGTTTTTCTTCTATTTTTAAGTTACTAAGGTGAATGGTGAGGAAACCTTCGTCTTAACTAAACATAAGCCCCAAACAAAATATAATGAAAGCAAAATAAAAGTAAAATAAAAATAAAGCTCAGACTTGGTTCCTTACAGCTGTATTTCCCGTGTTAGTTTTGTCTTTCTAGGCCATCCCATTTTCGAGTTTTTTTGGGTTTTTCGGTTATATTGCTTTGCAGTATTTTGGTTTTCAGCTCTCCTGTTCTTTTTTTTGGTTTAAGTTATTAGTTTTAAGGTAGTTAAGTGTTTTAGAGTCTTTCTAGATGGTGTGTTTCTTTAGTTTTGAAAAAAACACTAGGACCAGGAGCCCATGCTTGGACGTCTCATTGGTCCGGGAAAAGCTT